CAGCGATGGCTCTTAATGAGCACCTACTAAATGCTAGCCCTGTGCAGAGAATTTATGTGTATTAATTCAATCAATCTCGATCAACTCTTTAAGGAAGGTACGATTACAATGTCCATTTTACAGATGAGGAAACTGAGGCAGAGAGATTGAAGTAACTTGCCAGGTCACATAACCAGTAAACAACAGAATTAGAATTTGAACCTGGGCAGTCTGGCTGCATTCTCATAACCAGTATGATGACGTAGAATCTCCATTTATAATACAATTATGTAAGTTTTTTTTAAAGTGAGTGGATTTTAAAAGTGAAGGAAAAGAGTAAGTGCTAATAGTACAAATGGTGTGAGGAGATGCTAAAAATCATGAAAATGACAATGAATAATTAAATTTCCAAAAAACAAACAGCTCAGTTCAGTCTGCACACGAGGAAAGAGGTCCAGAGAGGGAAGGGATTTACTGAAGGCTGCACAGTCAGGTAGAAGCCGGGTGCACCAACGTGCGGGAGAGGCGGGATGGGTGGGGAGGGCACGTGGTGGGGGAGAGTGCCAGCCGAACTGACTTAGTGTGTATGTGTGGTCATGGATGTCAGATGTGGTCCTCTACGTCCCTGTCCCCCTTCCCATTACTGTCCCCAGCATAATATGGATAGAAATGTTGGGGTTTGACCTTATTTGGTGGGGAACAACGGGACATTGGAAGAGGACACCAGGCCAGAGAAGCCCTTCCCTGTTCTGCCCAATTGAAGGCCCCTTCCCCCACTGCAGTGTGGGAAGAGCCCCTTGCGGGCACATGCACTTTCGACATTGAGTACCCTCTGAGCTCCATGCCATGTCAGTGCCAGGACCCTCCTTTCTTCAGAATAGAGCTGTAAATATTCTTCATTCATTCGTTTATTCTGTAGCAGTAATGGAGGGCCTACCCTGTGCCGAGCACCGTGTGGACTACAGGTGGAAGTGAGCCTCGGTCCCCAGTTTTGCAGCCTCCTGGCATTGGGATCTTGCTGGGATTGAGAAATGCCATCTCCTTCTCCTCAAAGTGCCTGTTTTATTTCCCTGCCTTCAGAGGCCTCATTTATAAAAATGATTTTTCCCCCCTAAAAAAGCTCTTTTTATGTTGTGCCCTTATTTATTCTCATCCCCCTTTGCCAAGATCTTGCAGCCACGCTGGGGCAACCAGAATGGCTTCCATTAGGCTTTTGAGGACTTGAACATCATAACCCACTAATCCAATTACTACACCTGGTTAGAAACCTCTGGCCTTGTCCAACCTGCCTATTTTACAGATAGAAAAATTGTGGTTCAGAGAGGGACATTTTGTTCACTCTTTCATAAAATTTACTGAGCACCTACTTTGTGCCAGGTGCTGTGCCAGGTACTAAGAACCCAGAGAGGAATAGGAGCCAGTGCCTGCCATATTATTCTATTGTTGCTGTGACAAATTATCACAATTTTAGTAGCTTAATGCAACACATATTTATTATCTTGCAGTTCTATAGATCACAAGTCTGACACAGATCTCACTGGGCTATAAAATCAAGGTGTCAGCAGGGCTGCATTATTTTTTGGAGGCTCTAGGGGAGAATCCATTTCCTTGCCTTTTCCAGCTTCTAGGATCTGCCCACATTCCTTGGCTCTTCTTTCATGTTCAAAGCCAGCAACGTCACTTCTCTCTGATGTGCTTCCATGGTCACATTTCCTCTGACTTTCTCCTTTTCTACATCCTCTTCCACTTCCACTTCTGAGGACCTTTGGGGTGACACTGAGCCCACTTGTATAATCCAGGATAATCAGCTGATTAGCAACTTAAATTCCATCTGCAGCCTTAGTTCCTCTTTGCCATGTAAAGTAACATATTCACAGGATTGGGAGATGAGGACATGGGCATCTTTGGTGTCTATTCTGCCTACTATGCCTGCCATCAGGGAGCCTGGAGTCCTCTGAGGGAGACAGCAATCAGTATGGGAACTGCTGTGATAGGGGCACTATAGGAGGCCAGAAAAGGGGGCATCTGACCCTGCTGGGGTGGGGGGGTGTTATGAGAGGTCGGAGAAAATCTGCTGGAAGAGGTGAACACTGACCTGAGTCTTGAAGAACGAGAGGGAGTTGGCCAGGTGAGGAGGCGTGGTGGTGGAAGGCATTCCAGGGGAAAGGAGCAGCATGTGCAGAGGCCTGGAAGTGAGTGAGAAAAGGCACGTGCCATTGCAGCTAAAGCACAGGAGAGGCAGCGCGGCTGGAGGCCAGATCCCACGGATCAGGACACCTGGAGGCCGGATGCTTCCTGAAGGCCGTGGGGAGCCCTTGGGTGATTCTGAACAGACTGATGAGGTCAGGTTTGCATTTGAGAAAGGTCACTCTGGGGTCCTTCTGGGAATGGCTGGAGTGAGGAAGACTAGAGGTTGGCAACCCGAGAGGAGGAGGTGTGTCCCTGGGAAAGACTGTGAAGGCCTGCGTCAGGGCGGGGGCAGGGGAGCAGAGCGGTGAGTGGGCTGGTGAGCTGCTGGAGGGGAACAGACTGTGACTGCTCTGTGACTGGGGGCTGTTTGTGCGGTGGGGAGGCAGCACGATGAGCAGCTTTCTTGCCTTGGAGCCTGACCAGATGTGAGGCCGTCACTGAAGTAGGGATGGGGGGAGGAGCAGGTTTGGCAAGTTGCAGAGTTGGAGTTGATGTGTTGATGTCGCTGCCTAAGAGTCGTCTATGGGGAGGCATCCAGGAGGCATCTGGGCATATGAGTCTGGAGCTCTGGACATAATCGGTCAGTCATTGCTGTGTAACAAACCACCCTAAAACTCTGGTATGAAACAATGATCTCTTATTAGCATTTGCACATCTGCGTGTGGATTGGAGGTGTCCAGTCCAGGCTGGGCTTCACTGGTGGCCCAGCTTCTGGTTGTAGGTGTGCAGGTTAGCCAGGTGGTGGGATGTGGAGGATGCCACCTTCTGCTTTCCCTCTGGCCCTGGCTTGAATGCCTCCCCGCATTCCTCCACTTCTCCTTGGAGTGGTGGATGACATTTGAGCCAAGACCTGCAGGCGGTGAGGGAATGAGGATGTCTCAAGAAAGAGTATTCTAGGCAGAGGGAACAGCCAGTGCAAAGGCCCTGTGGTGGGATTGTACCAAGTGTGTTTGAGGACCATGTGGCTGGAGGCAGTGAGCGAGGGAGGTGGGGTAAGAGAGGAGGTCAGAGAGGGGCCTCAGTGGTGTGGGGCCTGGAAAGTCATGGGGAGTGGCCACTACCCTTATTATTATTATTATTACTATTACTTTTCATCTTCTCCTCCTGTCCCCCACAGGACCCACCATCCCTGGACACAGCCATCCAGCATGCCCTGGCAGGCCTCTATCCTCCTTTTGAGGCTACAGCTCCCACTATCCTGGGTCAGGTGTTCCGGCTCCTGGACTCTGACTTCCGGGGTGATGGGCTGAGCTTCCTCCTGGATTTCCTGATCCCTGCCAAGCGCTTGTGTGAGCAAGTGCGCGAAGCAGCCTGCGTAAGTTGGGACGGATGCAGGGCTGGGGACTCGCCCTCCCAGAAAGCCACAGAACTGGATGCGAGGACAGAGGAGCTGGTGGGGGGGGGTCTGGCCTCACAGGAAGAACTGAGGGTGTGGGTGGTTTTCCAAGTGTTATTGCTTGCCCAAAGGGAGCCATCAGCCCCCCAAATGGAGCAAGAGGGCCACTTGGCCCTTTACCCTGTGACATTTAGGAGTCAGTTACATCTGCACTTTCACTAGCAGGGAGGAAGTCCTGGATAGAGGCATCCTTGGGGTTTCTCTGGCTGTGAGGAGCCTGCCCTGGGGCTGGTGTTGTGGGCATGGCCAGGCTGCCTTGGCTGAAGGGGGGCAGTTTCAGTGGAAAGAGCAGAGAATGTTGCAGTTTCCCAGGAGCCCCTGAGGCATGAGGACTCTCACTTCCTTCTCTGGAGACCCCTTCAAATCCAGATCTCAGGGAGGCCTCTCCTGAGGCAAAGCAGAAAGAAAAGTGTTTTAGGCAGGATTCATTGCCTGCAAATGACAGAATCTTCACCCAGACCAGGGTGGGTGGATGAGGCCTCAGGGCTGAATTGATTCTCTGGTCAAACCCCTTGAAGACACTTTCTGTCTCTTGCCTCTGCTTCTCCCTGCCTGTCAGCATCATTCTTACAGGCTACGTGCTCCCACAAGGCTGCATCCCAGGGTAGCTCTGGGGTTAAATCTTACCCTGGAGAGGAAAATGAACTCTTCCCCCCCGTGAGCTGCAGATAGAAAAATCTCAAGGAAGGATCCTGATTGGCCGGGCTTAGGTCATATGTCCATTCCTGGACCAATCACTATGGCCAGAGCAACAGGCACCACGATTGGCTAGGCTTGAGTCATGCATCTACCTCCATGGGCAGAGGATGGAGACTGTTTAAGAAAAGGGTGGGGAGAAGCCTGAGGAGACCACACCCTCAGTGCCCACTGCAGGAACTTGCCTTCAAAGGTTTGCCGACGGCTTCCTGCTGTGCTGTTATTTAGTGCCCACCTGCCTGCCACGCCAGCCTCAAGAGTCACAAAGAGGTTCTCAGCCCCACCAGCCTTTCCTGAGTTGCTCACTGCCTGCCAAGGCCAGGGCCACAGCTCACTAGCAGCAAGAAGCAAGGGTAGGGACTGTGTGCATCACTTCAGTGGTAGAAAGAAATCGAATGGAGCAGCTAAAAGTTCAGGTTTAGGAACCGGAACTGGAGAGAGTTGAAACCAGAAGGAAAGTGAGATCACCCGTTTGCCATGCTTAGCACAGTGCCTGACACACAGAAATAGCTCAATACACAGAAATTGGTATTGCAGGAGAGGGGAGCTGCTTGTGGAAACATCTGCAGGCAACTTCCCCATGCTGATGTTAGTTCGCGCAGCTCCTCCCGTCCTGATTGCTTCTCCCCGACAAGCTGCACGACCAAACACTTCCTTTATGTGTCCGTTAAAACCACATGTGCACCAACCCCTTCCTCATTTCTCCCAGTGACCAGGTCACAACCTCTCCACATCTTTATTCTTAGTTAGAGGCTAATTTAATTTAATTGTGATTATAGGCAAGTTCGTGTCACCTCAGAGCAGGAGGGAGTAATATGGGATTAACAGTATGGCCCCCAGTGTCAGGTGCCCCAGGTTCAAATCCAGGCTCATCATCGTGGACTTGAGGGATCCATGTCACCTCTCTGAGCTTCAGTTTCTTTCTTTGTCAAGTAGGAATGTTAATAACATAGCACCTAACGCACAGAGACAGCACATACCGCTTAGCACAGAGTCTGGCAGGTAGCAAGTGCTCAATAGCCATTGGCTGTAATTATCTCACTTCCTCATTTCTCCCTCTGAGATAATGTGCCAACCTCAAAGTCGACCTGTCTAGCCACTGTCAGCCAGAGGCAGCCACCTTCAGACGAAGTCTAGTGGGGCCCAGGGACAAACACCACAGACTCCAAATGTGAAGTCCTGCGCCCAAGTCCTGCTTTTGCCACATATCAGTGGTGTGACTATGAGCCAATTACTCCACCTCTCTGAGCCTCAGTTTCCTCATTTTAAAAGTGAGAATAGTAATGCCTGAATTGCCTGCACCCCTGAGTTACTGCGAGAGTCAAACAAAATGTTTCTAGCTGTCATCTCTGGTGGTTTGCTATTTGCAAAATACGGCTGTGTTGGTTTGTCTCATTCGATGAGAAGGCGAGGGAGAGCACACTGTAAACTGTAGAGGGCTCGGTGAAAGAGGAGCAATAACTCACAGACTCGTGAAGCCTCATGGATATGAAGGTTCTCCAAGGTGGCCAAATCTACAATGTAACTGATATGAATGGATTTATCAACTTCGGGTACAAATATGGTCATATCTCACTGATTTCCCCAATTAATGATTGCAGGAAACACCTGCTTAATTAGCAGGAAGTTTATTGTCATTCTCTGGAGGTCTCCCACACACACACCCAAATTATGTAAGAAAGTCCAAGGACTGCTCAATCCAAGCTCTGAGCCTTCTCCCTTGGGACAGCAGGCTAACAAGTATTCTCAAGGTCAGGGGCAAGAGTAGGGGAGGCAGGAGAGGAAACCCTTGTGCAAACTTGAGAACAAGGGCCTCTTAGATGCTATGTCCCTGTTATCTTTCCTGCCTCACCCTGGTGCCCAACAGCTTCAAGATTCCAGCTGGAAGAGAGAAGGAAGCAGATCCAAGGGTGGGGTCTTCCAGAGCCAGGTTCTCTGATGCCTTCGCCTTCTCTCCGCAGGCCCCCTACTCACACTGCCTCTTCCTGCACGAGGGCTGGCCGCTCTGTCTGCGGGATGAGGTCGTAGTCCACTTGGCACCCCTCAATTCCCTCTTACTGCGCCAGGGTGACTTCTTCCTCCAAGTTGAGCCCCAGGAGGAGCAGTCTGTCTGCATCATGATCAAATGCCTCTCCTTAGACCTCCGCACAGTGGACAAGAAGCCTGTTCCCGAATCATCCTACCCTATACTTTTCACCCAAGAATGGCTGGAGGCCATCAATAGTGACTATGAGGGGAGTCCTCTACACAACTGCCTGGTAGCTTCGGAAAATGGGATTGCTTCTGTGCCTTGGACCAAGATAACCAGCCCAGAGTTTGTGGATGACAGATCCCAAGCTGTGAATGTCCTCTCCGCAGCCTGGGAGTCCCTTCAATTAGAGGCACTCGATTTGAGTAGCCCTCAAGAGCTGCACCAGGCCAGGACCCCAGGCAACCAGGTGTTTCTAGTCCAGAGTTCGGCCAAGGGTAAGGGCAACACATATAGAAACAAGTATCCGGGACTCATCAAGGTGGAGCAAGCCAGGCCTGGGGAGGTGGCCTTCAGGATGGATGATGTGGTCACCCAGGACTTGGAGGGAGACTATGTGGCCCTCCTGGACTTTCCCCAAGAGAGCAGAGGAGAGTTTCTCAGTAGAGAGGTGGAGACATCCACTGGATGTACTTTGGGGGCACTAATGGAGCTGTCTGGAACTAAAGAAATTCCTCTCTCTCAAAAGATGCTGCCTCTCTCTGAGGCCAATGGAGAACCTTCCTTGGAAAAATGGTCTTGTGCAAAGTCAGCAAGCTCGGAGGAGGAGCCCTGCATATTTGGCTTGAGGAGAAAGGTCAACCATAAAGCACCCACCCACGACTCAGAACGGCAGCCCCAAGGGCCCTATGTCAATGTCCTTGAGGACTTACTGGACTGTGACTCTGGCCTTGGGACAGGTGTCTCAGAAGAGCCAGCTGCTTCCAAGATGCGGGGACCTCTGGGAAACTCAGAGAATATGCTCCAGCTCAGGCCTGGACCAAGACAATCTTCTTCTCCTTGCCTGGCCCCCGCTATTCCTGCAGCCCCAGCCTCTGAAACAAAGATGGAGGAGAAGACCAAACAAGGAATCGGGAGACTTCCCAAGCTCAAGGCCCACCCAAGTCAAAACTCCTCCTCTTCTGGGTCCCCCACTCCTGGGCTCAAATTCTCATTCTTGAAGGGGCAGAGACAATCCCCTATACCCCTGGAGAAAGCCACACTCCAGCATGACAGGCCTTGGAAAGTCCTCTGTTCATTCTACTCTCCTAAACCCAACCGAGCCAGATCCTTGGGGAAAGGTAAGGGGCTCACTCCCTCAGCTGGAAAAAGGGATTATTGTCTGGATGAGATCAGGTTACAAGGTGGTTCTGGTTGTAAGGAACAGAGACCCACCTGCACTGGCTCAATTTCAAGAGTTTAGTGCACCATGTAGCATATCAAGGGGCTTGAAGTTTCATGGGTCTGGAACTGAGCAAGCCTCTGTGTCTGTGTTGTGACTGCCTGAGTTCACACCCAGTTTTGCCACACACTAGCTGTGTGACCTTGGACAAGTACTTAACCTCTCTGAGTCCAGGCCTCCCTACCTATGCCATGGAGATCTCACCCACTTCACAGAGCTGTTTGGAGGGTTCAAAGAGACACCCAAAGCGAGGAGCTTAGCACAATGTCTGGCACATAGTAGGAGATCAACACTTTTAAGCTGTTATTATTAGTCAGAAGGTGAAAGAGAAAATGTTATCCGCTTAGAAAATTCTTTTCTTTGTTGTTGCTTAACATCTTTTTCTTTGTTGTTGCTTTTCTTCAGCTGGAAAGACTCAGACCAAAACATCTGGCCCAGCTGCTGAGTCAGGCCCACTGACTGGGGAAAAGGCTGGTTTCCCAGAAGCTCCTGCAGACCCCCCAGAAAGAGGCTCCACCCTGGATGAGGACCCTCCAGGGCCTGAGCGCAGTGTTGGGGCTCTGGGTGTTGAGCTTTTCCACTCGAGGATAGCATGCCTGCCAGGTTCTGGGGGATCAAACGGGGAGGCGGAGGGGGGAGCTGGGAGGTCCCAGGTTATCGTCAGATGCTTGTGGGTGGAGAGGAGGCAGGGAAAGCCCTGGAGGCCTGTGTTCTAGACCAAACCTCCCTGGGCCTCGGTTTCCTCATCTTTCCAATGAAGGAGTTGGATTAGATGAAAGCAGTTTCTAGGTATTCATCCATCCATCCATCTGTTCATCTGTCCATCTGTCTATCCATCCATCCATGTAAATTTCAGTGAAGCAGCCAAGGTGGATATCAAGTTCCCAGAAGCAGGGCCTGAGACATGGATTCTTGGGAAAGTGATTTATTGGAGGAGGCTCTCAGGAGAAGGGAGGGAGGGAAGCAGGACAGGGCAGGGGAAGCTGAGCAAGGCTGTGGCCTGACCCCAGGGGGCTCTCTGGAGCATGAATTACACCACAGCGCTGGCTCCATCCTAGGGTGTGCGGGGCTGCTGGCCTTTTTGTATGCCTGGGTCTGTCAGTCATTAACTGTGGGCTGATCCTGGATGGAGTTGCGGGGTGAGCCAGTGTCTCATTTCAGCCAAGGGCAATTCTTCAGAGAAGGAGGCACCTGTGAGCCATTTATAGCTGGTAGTTCCAGCCCCTGGGTGATGGATGCTCTGCCTGCTGAAGGCATCTGGGTGGAGAACCAACAGCATCCAATCCAGAAGGAGTTGTCATTCCTGCTTAACATTTAATTATCATTGTAACAAATATTTACTGGGCCCTGGGCTTAGCCCTGGGGATTCATCAGGGAACAAGTCTGATGTTTTCTCTGTCCTCAGGAAACCTATATTCCAGTGGTGGAGAAAACTCAATAGGTCATTACAGAAGATTATTACAACCCAGTGTAAAAAAAATGTACCAGTGGGGAAGGACAGAGGGCTGTGGGAGCACAGATGAGGCCCCTGGCCCTGGCTTGGGTGGGAAGAGTTCAGGGAAGACTTCCTAGAGGAAGTCACATAAAGCTCAGTCCTACAGTATGAGTAGGAGTTATCCAGGTTAAGCGTTGGGAACAGTCTTTCTTCTGGACAGAGGCAACAGCACGTGTACAGGTCTGGGGGGCAGGAGACACCACAGTGCTCCCTGGGAATCGACCATCCTGCAATTCCATTTTACTTCATAGACTTCTACATCTCTGCAGGGCATTGGGCACTGCCCTGTGTTTTTGCACCTCCTGGGAGGCATTGTCTGTCTTTTTCTGGTCATCTTTGTTGAAGCTCTTGCTGTGTGTTCCCATATTAATTGTATGAAAAGGATCTTTCAATCCTCTTAGGGCTGTCATGTTCCAAGGGCTCAGGTATTGTTCATGGAAGGGCCCTGCTCTGGGATGATGGAGGCCTTGATTTTAGTTCCAACTCTAGCACCAGCTCCCTGTGTGTCCTTGGAGAAGTTGCTTGCCCTCCCTGGGCCTCGGGCTCCCCCTTGTGTAAGAGGTGGAGAACAGGCAGATAGGACCTGGCTCACTGTCACTCTTTCCACAACTACTTCTGTAATCCTTGGGGGATACGACGTACACTGACGGGTCCCAAGTGCCTGGCATATAGTCTGTGCTCAAAAAGTACTTGTTGAATGCATAAGCAATATCTCTGTGGATGCTCCTTCTTTTCCCTTTTCTGACCTCCGCTTCTCCAGTGATCTCGTCCTCACGCCCCATAACTAACTCCTCCCACGGCCACCCCCTGTCTTCCTTCCTGATTTCAATCTGAGGATTCCTACTCCTTTATTACCACTGCCTCTTTCCAGCTCACCCAACGCCTGAATTGTAATTAACTTTAGACCCTCCCTCCCCCCAGAACCTTCAACCTATTGATCCAACCACCTTCTCACTGTCTCTCCCCACCCTCCATCCTGTCCTTGCGTCCCTCCTTCCCAGCTTAGACTCCATGGCCCATTACTATAATCACTTTCTCACAAATACTCTCAACTCCCTTACCTTTCTCTCCCACTATCACATTTACCCGGAGAAATCCCAGCCTCAGTGAAATCCAACTTTCCTCCTACTCCCCACCTGCACCCTTACAGCTGGACAAAGCTGGGAAAATTGACACAACCGCACTGATTGGTCACATGTTAGATTCCTGACCGTGACCTTCAGGGAGTCCCAATGGTGCCTGTGGATCCTACTTCACCTCCAGAGTCCTGAATGACTGCTCCACCATCCTCAATGCTGACTTCACACCTTCTCTCCTCTGACCTTCCACATCATCTTCCCTAACTTTACTCTCCACTGACGACCCCCCTCCTGGCCTCACTGAGCAACTAGAAGCCATCAGAGGAAGTCCACAAACTCCTGCCCCCATAGTTACTCACCCGAAGCCTCTATACCCACACACTCGGCATCCCCTATGGATGAACCATCCGTGCTCCTCATCCAAGGCCCCGCCTCCATCGGTGCACCGTCCCTCTGTACCCATCAGACATCCCATCAAGATTCTCCTCTCTTCCCTGCATGATCACCTTTCTCCGTCTGCACTGGACCACTCCCATCAGCATGAGAGTGTGCTGTGATGCTGCCCAGTTTGAAATACCCCACTCTAGGCCCCATGTCCCCATCCTTGCCTTTCTTTTACATCAAAACTCCACAAAGGAGTTGTGTTTTCTCCTGGTCTCTGCACCTTCCCTCCTCTCCTTCTCTCTTCAAGTCACTGTAATCAGAATTCCTTTCCTACCTTGACACTGAGACAGGTCTTGTCGAGGTCACGAATGACCTCCATGTTTCTAGACCCAATGGTCAAATCTCAGTCCTCAGGGAGTAAGTAGGTCTTCCTGGAGGAGGTGGCATCTTGGCTGGGCATTAAAGGTGAAGGGTATTTCACCGAATGGAGATGGGAGGGAAGGGCATACTTGGTAGAAGGTAGAGGGTGAACGAACATGGGAGGTGGGAAAGGGACAGGCTCCTGTAGGCAATGACAGAGGAGCCACTCTGACCATAGGCATTGTCAAGCAGAGACAATGTATCAGTTCGCTATGGCTGCCATTTCAGATTAGGTGACTTAAACAACAGAAATTTATTTTCTCACAGTTCTGGTGGCTGGAAGTTCAAAATCAAGGTGCTGGCAGGTTTGCTTTCTTCTGAGGTCTCTCTCCTTGGCTTATAGATAGCTGTCTTCTCTCTGTGTCTTCACAGGGTCTCCCTCTATGTCCAGATCTCCTCTTCTTGTAAGGACACCAGTCGTGTTATATTAGGGCCCACCTTAATGACCTCATTTTAACTTAATCACCTCTTTCAGGACCCTATCTCTGAATACAGTCACATGCCAAGGTACTGGGAGTTAGGACTTTAACACATGAATTGGTGGGGGACACAACTGAGCCCATAACATATAGTATATGAAATGAGGCTGGAAGAGGGCACAGATGCTGGGAGGACACTTGAGTGCCAGGAGGTGCCATGGATGGTTTTAGAGCAGGGGAGTAGCTGCATCAGAGCTGTGCCTGAGCTCCAGTCGTCAGGTTTATAGCAGACAAAAGCTCACCTCTTAGTGTGGCCCAGGGTCAAAGGGTGAATCAGACATGATCCCCCCTCGCAGACAAGTCAGGGACCTGGGCCTGTGAGAGAGTGGGAAGCTGATTCCCCTCTCCAGGCCTCAGTTTCCTCATCAGTAAAATGGGCCCAGTGACTTGATGCAGCATATCCCTACTTGAGGGACCCAATGTCTGCCACAGGACTTTGGAGGGATGTGTATAAACATCTCCAACTTTACGAGTTTTTCATGGTTTAGCTAGTTCACCTTTTTTGACTTCCTATTGTAAGTTTTTTCGAACATACAGAAAAGAAGAGAAAATTGTATCATGAATACCCATTTACCCATTACCGAGATCGAATAAATCTTAATATTTTGGTATGTTTCATCTATTTTTTTCTGAAGTATTTTAAAATAAATGACAGACCTTCATATTTTACCGCTAAATACTTCAGCGTGTCCCCTAACAATCACAACACCGTTAGCACCTAACAAAATGAGAAATAATTCCCTAATATTACTCAATACCTGGTTTGTTAATATCAAGTCTGCCCTATTGTCCTCAACGAAATGGCTTTACTTTTCAAATTTGTAAACAAATCTTGGGAAAAAAATCAAACCCGCATTATCAAGAGGATATAAAGTTTTCTCATATGTGTGTATACATCTACATACACAAAAATATATATTTTAAAATTTTAAATGATGTCCAATTTTAAGACATATGTGAAAGAAAGAATGTTTCAGATGGCTGGACCCCTGTGTAAGACAGCACTTGTGAAGGTGTTAAGTTTGTCCGAGGCTTCATGAGCTGTAAAGGGTCTTGCACACTGTAGAGGGTTGTGCCCATACCAAGTGGGTGGTGGTAACTGCAGAGTGGTGCTGAGGAAGGTGACTCTGGAGTGCAGGGCACTGAGTCCATGGTGCAGGACTGGCGCACTTGCAGAGGCCTGGTCCTCTTTCCCCACTGCTGTACGTCCTCTCCCCTCCCAGTGCAGACTGACTCCCCAGGCCTGGCCTCATGTCCTCTGTGGGGAGAGTGGGGCACACAGCCCAGGTTCCTGAAGCAGGAAACATCCTATCGAGAGCCCACAGCTGAACATCTGTAAGAGTAAATAGTGAGCTGTGGCCACGAGGCTGCACACTCACCATGCCACGGGCTGGAGACGAGAGCAGAGATAATGACCATCATAACACCACCGTTCACTGAGCCCTTGCTTCTCACGGACTGTCTCATTTCATTCTCATTTACCTGTCTCACCTAATAAGCTCAGTGTTTTATTCGTCCCATTTAACAGATGAGCAAACTGAGGCTCAGAGACTTGCCCAAGGACATGCAAAGTGAGGACTTGAAGCCCTGTCTGTGTGACCCCAGAGCTCATTCCACAAGCTTTTCATCCCAGGATGCCCCATACAGCAGGAGTCCAGAGGAGAGTGAGGCTATCACTGCACGGAGGAGGGATTCAGGGAAGACTTTTCTCGGGAAGGGGCTTTTGAGTTGGGTCTTGAAGGATGAATAAGAGTTCAGAGCTCACATAAGTCTGCAGAAGGAGGAGAGAAAGGGCATTCCAGGCAAAGGAACCAGCATGGGCAAAGGCCTGAGGCCACAGGGGAGGCTCCTGTGGAGGGCTCCCCCAAGGTTCTCACTGCTCATGTGTGCCCTCTCTCCTCCAGGTGGTCGGGACAGGGCAGGGCGGCCACTGCTTCTGGTGTCAACCACCAAGGGAGACTGGGAAGCACCATGGTGCACGGCCTCAGAGGTCACCAGGCTGCTCTCCTACCTCTGTGCCATCCCCAGGTAAGGGGCTGGGCCACCCTGACCATGCCATCCCTCCCTGAACCCTCTCGGCCCAGAACCTTGGACCAGGCACTGAGTGGAGAGACACTGTACCCTTCCATCCAGTCATCTGTTCACAGAGCCAGTCCTGAGCCAGACGCTGGGGGGAAAGCAGGAAAGGCTCTGTCCCTGCCATCGGGGGATTCCCAGGCTGGTGGGAGACATGGACCATCTACAAGAAACAAACCATGGACAAGCAACTTTCAGGAGCGTTAGTGAGGTGACAAAAAGAAAGGGATGTTGTAGGTCAGTGGTCTCAACCTTGGGCGTGCATCAGAATCACCTGGTGGGCTGTTAAGATGGATGGACGGGCTCCACCCCTAGATTTTCCCATTCGGTAGATCTGGGGTGGATGGGGTCTGAGGATTTGCATCTCTGACAAGTTTCCTGGTGATACTGATGCTGCTGGGCCAGCGATCACGCTTTGAGAACCACTGTCATAGAGTGATAAGGGCGGGGAGTCTAATTTCAATTAGGAAATCAGGGAAGGCTTCCCTGAGGAGGTGGCAACTGAGCTGGCATCTGAATTATAAATATTTGTTGAATAAATGAAGAAAAGGGTAAATGAGTGAATGAATGAGTGAATGAGTGCGAGTGAAAGAATGAGTGAGTGATGAGTGACCCGGGCTAATTCCTAACAGCCCCCCACCCCGCCGCGATTCAGACTTAATGTTGGACTGGAGGGGGATGAGTCACCATCCTTTCCTCTGAGACCATGTCCCCAGTGGAGCAGTCTCAGAAGTGGGTTGCTCAGGACTGTGGCTAGTGACGCCAACCCAACCTTGAGACCTGCTGCTATTGGGGGTAGGAGTTGGGGAGACTGATGGAACCCTTTGGATCCTTCTACCCCACTGGAGCCATTACTGCCATCTGCTGATCACTGGGATTTTTCTTCCTCTTATCAAGGTGGAGTGGCTTTTCTGGCCCCAGGTGGAGCTGAGACCCCCTTTTCTGTACTGAGAAGTGGCCAGTGTGGTAGACAGAGCCCTGGAATCCCATCAACGTGCTATGTGACCTTAGGGCAATAACTTTCTTCTCTGAGCTCATCTGAAAGAAGGGGATGACCAAGTGGGATCTGAGGACCAAATAAGGCCGCAAGTGGTGACGGAAGATGAGGGGAGTGTGTAGTGTAAACCGTGGATCATGGTGCACATGAGTCTCTTGTGTGCTGAGCTTGTTTTTCCACTGTGCTCTGAGCAAACATTGTCTGGGCACCCGTTCTGGGCCCAGCTTCACGCTGGGCAGAAGCTCCTCACATCAAGGGACCTCTAGGCTGCAGGTGGAGACAGGTCTGGAAACAAAGCACTATCCAGCACAGGCATAGCCAGAGACAGGTCAGAGACCTGGTATCATCTCCCAGAGCCTCCTCTCACTGTCTACCACTTCACCTCTCTGTGCTTCAGTTTCCCCTTTGAGGACAGTAATAAAAGCAAACATTTATATCCCTCTCCCTCTGTGCAGTCACTGAATGCTTTACATAAGTAAATCCATCAGTTCTCACTGCAGCCCTTTAGAAGGATGGTGCTATTATTATTAAATTGACTCAGAGAGATGAAATAACTCACCCCAGTTGCCAGACACCACAACACCCCTGCACTAGGCCACTGCTGGTTTTGTCTATGAACTGGGTGGTTGTAAGACTTGAAGGTAGGTGGGGGTTATTTTCCAAACCTGCTGTATCATCAGAATGGCTGAGGACACTTAGAAGCACAGAGACTCCCTGGCCCCACCCTATACCCACTGCTCTGATGTCTGGGGGGACTGGGGTGGGGGTTGGAGTGAGGGGCTGGTATTTTAACAGATCCTGACAATTGGTTCAGTTTGGAAAATCCTAAGGTAACCACTGAGAAGTGGCCCACTGTAAGCTCAGTGCACTGTGGATGAACCAGTGAGAGTGTTTTGGCTGCAAGTAAAAGAAATTCCAGTTCAAAATGTCTTATCTGATAAGGAAATTTGTCATTCTGTTTCTCTGCCTTGTATCTTCTTGTCACAACTTTTTAGAGGAGAGAATGTCTTTCTCAGAAGGCCCCCAGCAAACTTCCCCTCACATCTCATTGGCCAGAAATATGTCACACGACCCCATCTAACCCAGTCACTGGCCAGGGGAATTGGTCACTCAACCAATCAGAAACCAGTCGCTGGGGGGACATGGCTGTATAGAGGGAGTTAGATTCTTGAACAACTTGGGGGTTGTGCCCATGCAAAAGGGGAAGGTGAATGCTGGGTGACTCACTCACTGTAACTGGGCTGGTGGCTATAGTCATGATTATTAGGGTTGCAAGAGAGGGCTGTGGGAGATACTGTGGGAGCAAAGAGGGAGCAATGCACTCTGCCTGGAGAAGAATCACAGAGGCCTTCCTGGAGGAGGGGGCATTGGAACTTGGTCACCTTCCATTAGTCCTTCCCCCTGGAGAGCCCCCGGCTGTCCAGCGAGACTGCCAATTGTGTTTGTCACCCACAGGCCTGAAGATAAAGCCAAAGGGCTGGCAGTCGTGATTGATGCCAGGAGACGTCCCCCACAGCCTAGCCTGGTCAGTGCCCTGCAGGCCACTCAGGTGAGTGGGAGGTGGAGAGCCTCAGTCTGGTAAGTCTTGGGAGCCACCAGGTGCCTCTTGACTTCACACAGCCCGCGGGGCTCAGACTAGAACCAGGATCCCCAGGCAAGATCTTTTAGTGGCAGCTAACAGAAAACCCAGCCCAAACAGGCTTAAAGACGAAGGGAGTTCATTGGCTCATGTCACTGGATGGATCAGGAGTTAAATCTGGCATCAAGTACAGCTTGATCCACGGGCAAATATTGTCAGTAGGGCTTAGTTCCTCTCTCTCCATTTCTGGCCCTGTTCTCCTGGGAGCGTGCCCTTCTCAAACAGCTCTCCCTGCTCCCCTAGGTCCCAGTGACAGCATGGCACCCAGAAGCTCTAACATGGTCTCTCATTTAAATGCAGTAGGAAAGAGTGAGAGATTATTTTCCCAGAGGTCCCAGCAAAAGTTTCTTTGTGTCTCATTAAGTCTGATTGGCTCAGGGGTTCATCCATCAACCAATCCCTGTGGCCAGGGGAATGCAACACACCGATTGGCTTAGACTTAGACCCCACAAACCTCATGAACTGAGAACGGGGAAGGAAAGAGACTCCTGACCAGCCATTCTGGGCAGCAGAGTAAATGGAGGTTTGGCATATGCTTACCTCATGGTCTGACCTCCTTGCTTTATAGGTGGGGAAACTGAGGCCCAGAGGGGCGGGTCATCTAGGAAGGTTTGCAGTGCAGCTTGGACTTGCTGCTGTCTTGACTTCAAATGATTACTCATCATCCAAACGTAACACACAAAGGTCCCAGTCATGGGAGAACCTCCCACCCTGTAAATGTGCCTGTATCTTAGAGGGGAAGGAGGAAGAGATAAAGGGGTGGGGAGGCTCCGTGGAGGCTTGGGCAGAGCAGCTCTGAAGCGGTTCTCTTTGACAGGCTCTGGTCCCAGCCTCCTTCCGAGCTGTCCTCCTCCTGGGGGAGAAGGAGGATGCTCTCCAGCTGCAGACCTTACCTGACATCCAGGTGAGGAGCAGGCAGCGTCGCGGTTGAGGAGGGGAGTTGTTGGGCTTGAGCTGAGCTGGGGGATGGGGATGAAGAACTGCAGAACTCACGAGCTAGAAGCGGCCTTGAAATAGTCCAGTGTAGGGCAATAAACCCGAGGCCTGGGCACTACAACTGTTCAGTCCTGCCCTATGGCCGGCATCGCCAAATCTGTCACAGAATTATTTTTCTCTGGCGATCCTAGCAACTCCTGGTAGGCACTGCCACATGACTGAGTTGCATCTAGTCAGCCCCTCCTCCCTTTCTTTTCAGATGGGGAAACCGAGGCCTAAGGCCACACAGTAAGCTGGATAGACACAGAGCTGGAGTCTCCTGGCTCGCAGCCCAGCCCTGCTCTTCCTATATTTCTCTCCCTAATTAATACAGATGAGGAGTTGACTCAGGACTTTGCAGGAAAGATCCCTGCAGCTCCCTTTAATTAGTGCCATATACCACAATAATGAGTGTGGGCACCCAGCCCTCTGCCCTGCCTCAGGAAGTGATTTAAAAGTTCTCCCACTTCCTGGTTAAAGAGGCACATTGTGAGCTAGAGATGTGCTTTTCAAACTTCAGTGTGCCTACAGATTTCTTAAGGGTTTTGTGAAAGTGCAGGTTCCAATTAAGTCGTTCCAGATGGGGCCTGGGATTCTGTATTTTTAGCATGCTCCTTGGTGCTGCTGGCCCATGGACCACACTTGAGTAGAAGGGATAACAGAGAGGTCCAAAAACCCACAGTATCCATCCAATCCCAAGCCTAGATATCTGAATCTATTCTCAGCATAAACCTCAAACTTCACTGCCGAGGAGAAGCAGTCACCTAGTCCCTCTTCCATGTCTTAGGGGACACTGTTAGGATTTGGTAGCCTTTTTCATCAGCCCCAAGGAGGAGACAGTACCTTGGTAGGTCACCAGAGAAGAGTGTAAGGATTATAAAGAAGTTCAACACAGGGCCAGCTTCAATCAGCTTGTGTGATTGCCTGGAGAGCTGTGCTGAGAAAGAGCCAAGCTCAGAGGGAACAAGTGCGGTGATTGATTAATGATGTCTCCCTTGGGCACAGGCTGGGAGAGTGGCACTACACGTGTTGTTTATTTGCTATTCCTTAACCAGGGTCTGGTCCCAAATTTTGATTTGTCAGAGCTTACAGAGAAGATTGGTTGCCCAGAAAGCAGCTCCTAAAGCCAGGGTCAACCCTCCCTGTGGGAGGTGGGCTGGTGCTGGAGCTGGGATCTGGGCAGGACCTTCTCAAATGTCTGTCCCCACAGAGTCCCCTGGTCCTCCTGACTGACTTCATTTGTCTGCAGGTGGAGGTGCTGACCTCATTGAAGGCCCTCAGCCACCATGTGGACCCCAGCCAGCTGCCCCCGGACTTGGAAGGCTCCCTCCCCTACTGCCACAGCGAGTGGGTGCAGTTCTTCCAGGTGTCTGCCATCACAGCCTGTAGCCCCTGCCCCTCCTTCTCTTCTTCTCTTTACTGTCCTGTCCCATAGATCCATCAACCCTGTCAGGTTCAAAAACACAGTCATTCAACAAACATTTACAATGAAGTTGCAGAGTGGAATGACTAAGAGCTCGGGTTCTGGGACCAGACTGCCTGGGTTCTCTTCCCAGCTCTGCTGTGTGACTTTGGGTAAGTTACTTACCTTCTCTGAGCCTTGGTTTTCTCATCTGCAAGGTAGGGGTTAATAGTAGCATCTCCTCATGGTTTCTGAATGTGTGTGTGTGTGAGGATTAATTGAGTTAATGTGGTAAAGAGCTTAGAAGGGTGTCTGGTACATGCTAAGAGCTATGCCTTTGTTAACTGAAAATAAATGTACAGGCACCTGCTCTGTGGAGCCACACAACTGGGGGAACTCGGGGTCTGGTGGGGGAGGCAGATGTGCTCCCACCTGTAAGAGGAGAGAAATAAGGAAACTGCCAGTGCTGGGCTCCTTGCCTGTGTGATTGCAATCCCTCCTCACTGCAACCCCGCAAGGGGCATTTCATGCCCTATTTAACAGATGAGGACACACAGGATGGGGGCGACTTGCACAACCACACACAGAAGATTATAGGCTCAAACCACGCTGAACCCAGTGCCCATAAGTGCCCACCCAGGGCTCTCTCTAGACCGGGGTTGCTCAACCTCTGCCAATTCACATTTGGGGGCTGGGTAATTCTTTTTCGTTGGGAGCTGTCTCGAGTGTTGTAGCATGTTGAGTACCATCCCTGGCCTCCACCCTCTTATGACAGTAGCACTCCAAAAATTGTGACAACCAAAATGTCTCTAGACATTGCTAAATATCCCCTAAGGAGCAAAGTCACCCCTTGTTGAGAACCACTAGTCTGTACTCACAGTCTAAAGTGGTGGTTTATTTGCTTTCTGCCTAGGTGATCTTTTTCAAATTGTGCCTGTTTTTGAATAGGTGATGTATTCAAATTTCAAATGGTACAAAAGGGTATATGCTGAAAAATCTCCTTTCCTACTTGTCCCCTAAGCACCCAGTTTCCCTCTCCAATTAATTCAATGGGTTTTGAACTATATTTTAGCTTTAAAACCTTTCCTTAAAATGAGATCTTACCTATAGACCCAGAATATAAAACTAATAATGATGATGACTAACAGTATGTGCTGGGCTCTATTCCCAGTGTTTTGTACAAATTAATCCATTTAATCCTCACACAACGCTGTAAGGCAGGAACTACTATGATCCCGTTTTTACAGAGGAGGAAGTGGAGACACAGAGAGCTTAAGTAACTTGTCCAAGGTCTCACAGCTAGTAAGTGGCGGAGCTGGGCTGACGTGGGACTCAGCCAAGGACGTCCCCTCATCCCACCCCCTTCCTTCCCTTTCTTCCCTCCTGCAAGGTGTCCCTTCCGACCTGGGAGTAGCTTAGGCCTGGCCTCTTTCTCCTCCTCTCTCATTCCCAGTACCAGTGCTTCCCAAAGTGGGGTCCCCAGACCAGTAGCATCAGCATCCCCTGGAAACTGGTTAGAAATGCATGTTCTCATGCCTCACCCCAGAGGAATGGAATCACAATCTCAGGAGCAGGGCCCAGAAGTCTGTGTTTTAACCAGCTCTCCAAATGATTTTGATGCAGCTAAAGTTTGAAAAACACTGCGTGGTGCCTCCTGTGTCCTGGGATGGGGGAGGTGTCCTCCCCACTGGCCCAGGCTCATGCCTCTGCCCTGGCCTTCCGTCCTGCAGAAGGTGGACCCTTTCCTTGCTGACCTCCGCCAGGCCTCCTCCCTGCTACAGGCTTCCATCGAGGAGTTCAAGAAGGGGGACCTCCCTGGCAGTGTACAGGTGAGATTGGAGCAGGGGGCGGGGAGGCCATACCATAGTCCAGACTCCATGGACCGAGGGCTCAGTGAAGAGGACAGCCAGGGTCGGCATCAGCCCTGTTTTTCATTCATTCACTTGACCAATATTTATTGGGAACCCACTGTATGTCCTGTCCTGCAAACCCAGCCTGGGGCAAACCGACTTCTCTCTGCCCTCGTGGGGTTCATGGTGCAGTGGCAGACGTAGGCATTTAAAAAGCGAACAAAGGCCGGCCCGGTGGCGCACTGGATAGTGCGCCGCTTGGGAAGCGCGGCAGCGCTCCCGCCCGAGGGTTCGGATCCCACATACAGACCGGCTCCAGCTCACTGGCTGAGCGAGGCGTGGGAGCAACGCCGAGGTTTGCAGTCCCGTTGCCGGTCCCTGGTCCGGTGCGGGGGCAACACTGAGGGTTGCGA